AAACAATTGCAATATATCAACTAATTCCACGTCTTTACGAAGCATTTTAAATGTAATCATATCGTGAAGGTTTCATGGACAAACAGTTCAGAGACAGAGAAACGCCCCATCAAAACACTCCTTTTTATTGGCTGTTCTCAGTGGATACAGTAATTGAATTGATCTTAAGTAAATCAACAAATAAAGAGACCAAAAAGTGAACAAATAAAGAAGCTACGTTCAAGTATACAAAAATGTCCAACCAATAAAATGAATATCTGCCCATAAACATCTGAGCGAACATGCGAAAATTTACGAATAAATGAACTTAGAATTAATAGTAAATACAAAAAAGGTACGTATAACAACCTGTAAGCTTATACATTCCTTTGATTGCTGATTAGTGAACAATATCACAACAAGGACAATATCACAACCCACACGTGACTCCACTATTTATACTTATGTGTGCTCCCATTGATTTCAGATGTTTACTCTTTCAGCTTCAATTCAACCCCCGAAAAAAGTCATCGAAAAACTAAATTGATTGCACGTCATCACTGTAAAATGCTTATCAAACACGAGGTCTGTGATGTATGTGTTTATGTTTATGAGGAAGCAACATAAACTGATTTACAACATACATGCACACGTGACTTTTATAGTGACGTTTACATACGTAATATTCCAAATTTTCAGCTTGCAAAAAATACTTAGCACTGATAACCGCTTGCATAGAAACTGCCGAATCCATTCGCTGGTGTTCAAAGTTCAAATTATACGTCTATATTTTAAATGGAAAATTTATTTTCGTTTTACCCCGCAAAACAACAAGAAAATGCTTTTTTCGTATGCAAATGAAATACTCGTACAGAATGCAAAGTTTTTGCAAATTGGTCTCAAAGAAGTATTTATCACTGATGAGCAGAGTCCATCGAATCACTTGTGTGACAAATGCCCCGTAAGGTTATTAAACGAAAGGCTATATCAAAATGGAATACGCAGTCATTTAGCTCTACGATCGCTTGTTGATTGTGTTGTAAAGAGTAGACGAACAATTTTTTTGTTCTTAATCTGTTTAATCGTTGAAAAATGTAAATAACTATCAATCAGAAGGCTGCACTTATCAAATGCGTTGTTCACGATAGGGCATGACTTAATTATCTACGGCGTTCGTCATAAGCATCTTAATACAACTTTCTTTCAACAAAACTTAAATAATCTTAAAAATAAATCATTTCCAACAAAACTTCACTGGTTATAGCTTCAAATGATAGCAGTTTAATCTTGGACGTTTAAATCGCATCAAACATTATCATTCGAATCAATGCATCTGTCAGAAGTGAATAGTGATAAAAATGAATACCTGTCATTTGCTTCACTGAGCCACTGACGATGTTCACCAAGGCACCATTCAGCCTCGTCTTTAAGCTTTAAAACTTTTGCGAGTTCGGCGTTCTTGGCTTCCATCTCACTGTGTAGCTGATCCAACTGTAGACGAATCTGGCTGCAAGTTCAGCAACATGAAACTAGTTTGTTGAATAATACTCCATTCAAGAATGGGATTGCATATTGATAATGATAATAATACGACGAACTTTCACTGTAGAAGAGCGATGGGCATTGGGGAATGGAAAATGTTGCGAGCAGGAAGAATATAACATGGATAGCGAGAGGAGAAACCTATAATGGAATGATGACAAGTTACCAGCACCAAGAAAAACTACTATTGAGGCGGTTAGTAACAGATGACAGAAAATTCGGAATGACTGAACTGTTGGCTCCTTTTTATCGACAAACTGAGAAGGAATTAGTCAGTATCTTACCTACGTTTCTTCACTTGAGATAAAGCATGAAAAAGTCTAACACATGCGCTTCCGAACATGGGAATTAGCTTAGGAATTATGTGTTCATATCCTATCCTAACGCTGAATTATTGGTAAAAATTTGTTTTCATACCCTCTGCAAAGTCACTGCTTACTAGAACTATATCAGAATTTGCTTGATAAGTTGAAATCAAAAAACCCCTCGAACTTACTGAAACTGTCCATTGCAACGGAATGATGTTTGTGGGATGCCATTATAGGGTAGTATAGACGTTTCAGTGAATCGCAAGTGATGCTGTGGAAGAATGTTAGAGCAATCCAAAGTGTAGCCCGGATGCTTCAGAATATTCCAGATGAAAGACAGGAACATATCGAGAATGAACAAACAGACGGTTAATGACAATTTTAACACGAGAAACGCTATAAATGTTGTAAGTGACCGAACACGGATAATCAAAACCACGGACAACAAAATAATAGGATTTTATAGTAGCTGCTTATTTTGTGAACGAGTGAAAAAATTCTTTTGAAAATAAACATTCAACGAATGATACTAGGAACTGATAACGCATGTAGTGGTCATTCAATGAAAACTGCCGCAATAGTTACGAAAAAATCGAACAAAGCAATTCCATCAAGCAATTCACTTTATGCTTTCACAAGTAATTCTCATCTTCATCTACAAGTATTAAACCAAAAATTTGTAAAAGAGAAGGTGAAAGGCTGTTGAATCGTAAAATACAACGACAATCAAGAGATATTCCTTTGATGAAATCGCAGGTGTATTGAAGATAAAAAATTTCGAAAGGAGAAATAATAAGTCGTATAAAATGAACTTCAATATGCTCAAATCAAATTTTACGAAAATCCTTTTCTCCAATACTATCGGTGAGTACAAAAATAAATTGGATCAGACAATAACGCTTATGGATCTGCTCACAATCATAGTTGCGTCAATACCGTGCACAACAAACGATGCAAATACGCACCAAACAACAACCACAGAATAAGACAAGTGAACAAAACTGATCGTCATAAAATGTGCAAACGTTCAGTAAATGATCTAAAAGTGGTCAATTTCGCAAACGCAAAATGCAAAAGAAACGATGATCAGTACTACGCGATTTAGCGAAACTGCACATGAAACGAACCCACATTTAGGCACCGGTTGATCGGCCGTATGCAATAAACGCTCAGTTAACAATGTGATTTATTCGCAAAGAATGTTATCAACGTTGAAATGATCTACACCATACTTGATATGTTTAAAGTAATATAATCTGGAGGGTTGAAAAATATTCTGATCGCTAAAAGAAACAAGTGATTGAAATTAACTTTTAACAGTAAATATGGAGTGAATTCAGGCTATCCTGCAGTCCGAGCTGTATATTTGGGGCCAGATGGTGTGTATCTCGTGCACAACAGAGCTTTCAAATGTAAAAAAAAGATAATAAAGGAACAATGAATGTAAAAATTATTGACGTAATAGAATGATGGAAACAATAGAATCTGGACTCAAATGGAGATGAATGACCGAAGGAACCCAAATACCTAGCTGAATTGCTGAAGAGAAGTATCAGTATAGTCAGCAAATCTGCTTATTGAAAATCAATCCATACCTCACATCATCGGGTGGTGATTTTGATCGGCGAGGTACAACGTATCGCTCTTCATGGACAAAGGTCTCGTCCTCTTCCAATTTTCTCGTATATTCAGTTCCCCTGAAGCATAAACAATCCATTGCGCATCTCAAAAAGAATAATTCATCAATTAATGGAAGCAATTACAATTGATTTCACTAACTTTGACATGACTTTAACCCTCTCCATAACTGCTTTTTCAATCGCTTCTTCACGCTCTTTAGAACTTTTTGATAGCGAGTCCTCTAGTTCATTGATTCTGGAATTAACTTCGATTAGAAGTTCACTGAACTAAATTTGATAATGATCTTTATGGAACCCATAAAATGGACACTGTAAGAAAATCAATTTGGAATATTCCGATCGCAATCAATATGATGCTGAGCCGTTGCAAATACGTTGAATTACTCGATACAATAAATCGGATACCTTTCATAGGCCTCAGTCAGCAAAGTGGTTTTTTCCTCTAGCGACCTTTCGACATCGTTCTTGTCTGATGTTAATGAATCGATGATTTCTTGATATTTTAACGCATGGCGAAGTTCTTGAATAGTCTTACTGAGATCACTGAAATTGCAACCAAATTAATGTGAATCTGCAACCGTATTTCTGTCTGGTGAACCACAAAATGTTTTCTACACGAATTGGCGTTCATCCTTCCATAACTTCAGCAATTTCATTCTTTTTATGCTCAAAAAATGCTTTCTGCTGAAATGAATAACACTTTCATTGATTTCTTTCACTCAACTGATGATGCTATTGAGCTAACGCAAACTTTATCTGTCGCGACCTACGAATTATATAAACACCGGTAAAATGAGATGCCACATTATAGATTTGATAAAATCAAGCAGAAAAAAGCAACAGAATCGCATGAAAACATCTTGAACGTTGATAATTTTACCTCAGATTACCACCAATTGATTCGAATTTTGGCGCTTCAACAGATCCCACAATAGTCTAAAGAATGCAAATGAAACAACAATATTTGAATCCAAATTACTTATAATGATTCAATCCGAGACTGAAAATCTTACAATCCGCTGAATCATTGCGGACATTTATCATCGTGATCTGACTTTCGAATGGTGGTAAAATGGAATTATATAAAATGAATTCAGAAAATACAACGAAGTG